CTCACTCCCCAAACCTACTGTAGAAGGCCAGCTTGGCTCCCCCTGAGTTTGTGGTCCTGAGGGTGGGGTGAAGATGATGGTGTTTCCTTGGGGCAGCTGCTGACTTCATCCCCACTGCCAGGAACACAGGGAGGGCATTTAGCACCCATTTTCCTTGCTGTGGAAATGCAGAGTGATGAGATTGGGGATTCCTTTAGCTTAGGAAACCTTAAAGCCTTGAAGGATCATAAACTTGGATAACACATCGTGTTTCCAACAGCCACTTCAAATTAAGATGGCATGTCTGAGAGACTCCATCAGGACCAGGACCCATAACTTTTCTGAATTTGGCAGCCAGCTAAACCCACTGCTGTTTGCCCCTGTGGGGTACCATGGTCCTAGGAACACCCTTAATGCCCTGCAGTGTCCTCCTGGCTTGTTGTGCAGAACACCCTCAGTAGGCTTCATGTTTTGGGAACTATTTCCATATGATGGCAGAGGAATCCCAAGCAGGGAGAGCATGGCACTGCAGGCAGCGTGCTGAGTCTGGGCTTGGTTCTCTCAGGCATTCTGAGAAGGTGCTGGGGCTGAGCACACTGACAGACACTGACTTCACACCAGCAGGGCTAAATGCTGCTTCTTGGAAGTGTTTTAGGCCTGCAGTTGACTTTCCATCTTCCTGCCCAATCCCAGTACCCTTTGGCACGAGTTTGCCAAACTTTTGCCCGTTGTCATTAATTATCTGTGAGGGGAAAAGAACATCCTGACTTGACTCGGTGACAGCACTGAAATTTCAGAGCATGGGTTGGGGCTGGCTCAGCACGTCCCGCTGGTGGCTTTTGGTGATCTCCTAAAGCCTCTGCAAAAGCCTGTTGAGTCACTTTGGAGCATTGCAATGGAAAGCTGATAACGGCAGCAGTATGGAAATAGAGCTGAAGGGATTGAGGTTTTTAAATTGATGGCTAACTTGGACAAGGCTTAGCTGTGCTTAAACTCGTTATGTCCATCACATTCAGTTATAGATGATTCAGCTCCAGCACAGAAGAAACTTCTAAACTATAGTCCTCATCACCCAGCCTGCTCACACTGGGCTCCTGCAGGTTTGGGGGAGTCTGTTCTTCTGAAAGGAAGGCTCCAAGCTCTGTGAGGCTTCTCTCTGCACAGTCAGCTTGCTGGAGCAGGAGCTGGAGGCTGGCTGCTTTCCACAGCTCACAAAGCAGCGCGTGCAGCAGCCCCCGTGGTCACCCCGTGCTGGCTCGGTGACAGTGGCGTCGCTCTTGTGGACTCGTTTGTTTACTTCCATCTCGAAGGTTGACCGTCCTCCCTCACAAAAATCCAGGCAGATATCAACAAGGCTTGCAAAGCCCCGTGTGTTTCAGGTGGGGTTAACCATCCCTGCCCGAGTGCTGGCTGTGGGGCAGGCACAGGTACCGGGGCTTTCTGTCCCATCCCACTCTCCCAGGGCATGGGCAGGGATGGCTTGGTGCCTCTCGCCCACCCTGCTAACCCTGTTTTGGGCCACAGCTCCTCCTGGGAGAGGTGGTCACCCTTGCTCTGGTGATTGCCTCTTCCCAACAGTCCTTGCCTGACTCAGGGGGGATTTAGTACCGGGTTGGGGGGAGGGAAAGATGTTAAACAGGCTTTTCCCTAATGAGGTGTGACGCCAGCTGGAGAGGGGGAGAATCCTGCTTTTCTCCTGTCTGTTGCTCTCTCCAGCTAGAGGAGGAGGAGATGTGTGTCCCCCCCTTTTCCTCTGCTGATTTGCTGCCTCTTCTGTTTCCTTTCTGTGCTGTCCCCAAAGCGTTTTGGCAAGGTTCAGATTTCTGTGCTCACAGCTCAGTGCTCAAAGAGAAAGGGGGAAAAACAAAAGGATTGGAGGCGTGGGGAGGATGGTGGCAGGGAGGAAGCTGAGCAGCTCGTCCTGGCCAGGCTGGAGGAGTGTGGCAATGGCTGACTGGAGCAGGGTTTGCCCTTAGGACCCTTAGGGGGGTTTTAGTGGCTTCTTTCTCCCTGGCATCACTTCATATACTCCTTTTTAGATGTGCTGCTTGAGCAGTGTGCTGCTTTGCTGGCTGTCCCTTGTTGGAGGAGAGGGCTGGAAAAAATCCTCCTGCAAAATGTGTGCTGAAGCATTAGGTGGAAACCTGAAGGGTTTTTGAACTCTTTGTTCATGTTCCTGAGATGTTATGATTTGCATCACATCCTCCCGGTGTGTCTTGCCATTCCCACAGCACTCTGTGTGGGAAGAGTCTGGAATTTAGGTGTTTTTTGGGACAGGAAGCTGGGGAATCCAGTGGGGGATAGAAAATTGTGATATTCAGATAAACAGGCCCAATGGACCCAACCCTGGGTTCATTTTTCAAGCCCTGAGTTCATTCATCAGGTACCTCTCACTGCTCTTACCCTTCTGTCACAAGCAGCAGTAGTTAAAATGTAGACAGAAACTTTACAGGACAATGTCAGTGTCTCTTTTCCAAGAGAAATAATCACGGTAATACTTGGCCTGTGCCTTTACCTGTAGCATTCTGGCACTGGGTGTTACTGTTGGCAGGGAGCAGAGGATCAGGATGGGCTCCAGGAATCACCCATGGCACATCTTGGCTTCTTCCAGAGCCCCTTAACCCAGCCTGGCACTGGGACTCAGCCCCACAGTGGTCTGCGTGCCCAGAGCCCCCTTTATCCAGTGGCTGTTTGGGTCAGGTCCCCAAAATTGATGCCACACCTGCCATGGAGACAAGGACAGGGAGAGAGAAAGCAGCAGGAGAGCAGGGGGGAACAGCCCATGCAGGTGTTTTAGTCCCTGCCCAGGGGATGGCATCTTGCCCAGTGCCCTGGGATTGTCCCCCTGCTCCTGGGGTGACCCCCCAGCTCCAAAAATGTAAAGGTCACTGTGGGGCCTGGAAAACAATGGCTGCAGATAGGAGCTATCTGAGGCAGTTGTGGCCACTGCTTAAGGAGTGTTAGTCAAACAGCAGGCTGAAAAGGCTCACGGGAAGCAGTTTAAATATTCCTTCATACAAAAGGCTGTCACATCCTAGCAGGGGCAGACTGCTGACTGACAGCTTTAATGAACAAGTGTATGTGGATGAGGGAGAGGCTGAACGCAGGGAGGCATCCTGGAGACTTGTTTTCCCCCCCTGTCCATCATTCTGGGTACTAACATGTCATTTTTCACGAGCTGCAGGTTGATTGTGGTAATGTGGTAACACACCTGGGATGGTTTAGTGTATCACACGCTCTAGGCCCTCCCTGCTGCCCTCTCCCCCGGGGATATTTATAGAAGGCATATGTCCTCTAAAATATTTCACAAATAATCTGAGTCAACACCTCTAAAATACTAGCCACTTATCAAGTGGTAAGTAGGGCCAGGAGCTGGACTCAGTCCTTGTGGGTCCCTTCCAACTCGGGACATTCCATGATTCTAAGTGAATTCACTCACTAATTACTATTTATATAGGGTGATTACTATTTATACAACAATAATGCCACTCTCTCCAAGGGATGGCAAGCAGCAACTGCAGTTTTTGTATTAACTTGCAATTAAGAAGGGTGCTCATCTAAAGGCAGAGAACAGAGATTCCTGGTGCTTTCCCTAGCTCCCTACATCAGGCTTTGGCTGCTCACTTCCCTTTCCTTACCTCCAGTTTCCACATGTAATAGATGTGTTTAGTACATTCTTCACGAGGCAGGTGCCAGGATTCCGCTCCTGAAGCACTCTGGGTGTTGCACAAGAGGTAAATAAGAGCAGTGTTGGTAATGAAAATATGCCATTAATACATTTCCAATAAAAAGCTACAAGCGGCATTTAAGCTGCAATCTGTTATCAATAATTTTATTACTGCAGTTACTGCGGTCTAATAAAAAAAGCACTTTCTCTTCTTTATTGGGTAAGTGCCAAAACGTTTATCCTTTATTCTCTGGCCATTAACCTTTATTCTGTAGCCATTAGCTTAGCTATTTGTGTAACAGTCTGTTGAGTAACATTCAAGTAGGAATTTGTATTCAATCCATTATTTACTCTGAAACCCAAAAAAAGAATAGCTTCTTATGCCCATATTGTTTATCCATGTTAAATCTCGTTAAATGCTGTGTGCTAGTGATGATAAGTCTTATAGAAGGCGGATTTTTCTTACTGTGAATAATTTTCTGGCATACAAATAGAACTGTAATTAACCAAACAATATTTGGAAAACAAAGCTTGAAACGGCTAGCTGAAAAAAAAAATAGGTATTTCTCACGATACCTGCTAAATTGGTAATAATTAAATTTCAGAAGTTTATCCTTTTTGTGGATCAGTTTCTGCCTTGCATCTTTGTGAACTCCACTGTGCTAGAATAAGCCTTGATATTCTCCGTTGAGGATTGAGATTTTTGGGTCATGAAGTCTGACATCCCTCCATCCTTTCTGTCTTACTGGAGTTGGGAAGAAAAGGGAACCCAATGGGAAATAAGTCAAATAATCAAAATGCCTGTTTTTCTTTGAGGGATTTGCCAGCTAGCTTTCAGCCATTTCTGGCAATCCATCTGAAACCACTACTTCTGGGTTGTAAGTGGCTTTTAGGGTCCTGCTTTCTGAGCACATCTTTTAAATTGAGCTCAGCAGCCTTAGTGAGAGGAGGTAAAGCAGGAGAATGAAACTGTTGATTCCTGTCCATCAGGTGAACATGGGAGAAATCATGCCTTTCTTATTAGGATGTAGTGCATCTCAACCTCACTGAACCCTATTTTTCTGCCTCCAGACAAAAGCATTAGTCTTCTGGCTGGAGAGTGACATTCAGTAAAAGCCTTTCAAGGTCTTCCCATAAACTCTTGCAATGAAGAGGTAGTAGAAGCAGTATTTTTAATGATGAGGAAGGTCAGTTTACCCCACGTGTGCTCTGCTGCTGTACACATACGTGAGGCTCTTTGGGTCTTTTTGGTCCTGATGAGCTAGCAGGGAATTCTAAGGAATTCATTTAATGGTTGGATTTTTTTATTTATTTTTTTTTTCTTTCCCCCTCTCCTTTCTGCTCATTAGGAACTGGAAGCTGCTCTTCACGGGGATGATGTGGAGTTTATCAGCGACCTGATCGCTTGCCTTCTTCAAGGTTGCTATCAGCGCAGAGACATCACGTGAGTAACCTCTCTCTATGGCTTAAGCACTTTGCAAGGGGAGCTAATTAACACGGTGGCAGGGATGTTTCACGGCTTTGGAGTGATGACATGGCAGTGATCAGCAGCCACCAGCAATCAGGCCAGATGCTTCACCGAGTGGAAGGGAATTCCAGTTCTCTTGGGTTGAGTTGTAGGCTTTTAATTGTACAGACCCCTTAAGCAAACTCCTTTGTTCCTGCAAGACCGTGGTTGATGCTCTGCTGTAGCACTAGTGCACACAGGGAACATTCACATCTGCTGTTATGTTCTGCACTCTGTTTGGTCAAATTAGTGATATTAAGTCATCACATATGTTTTCAACATTTGTATGTATTGCATAGCGTGAAACTTGCTGCCCTGCACACACCTCACTTGCATGAAAGATCCCGTTGCTTTATGTAGGGACAGCTATGATTATTGTCTTAGAAATAAAAGGAGTATTGGAATCACTTCCTGAGCTGCAGGATGTTGGAAAGTGATTTGACATGTTCTCTTGAAGTTTTGACATGCAGAGACACTTTGTTAGTGTCCAGTAAAGCAGCCTCCCAAATGGAGACATCTGCGGAGCATCGTTCTTTAGAGGACTGCCACTCGCACAGCAAAACGTGCTTCCAGTGATAGCAAAGGCTTGTTGCAATGTGTTTCATTTCTTCTTTTGTGCATCATGTTATTAGCAAAGCATAATTGTGGGGATAAAGACAGCTTGGCAACACATGCAGTTGCTTGGAAGCAATCCTGCTCCCTGAGATCCCCCCGTTGTGGAGAGGCTTAGGCCGGTGCATAGGCATAACCATAGGTGTTTGCATTGAAAGCTTTATTTCTAATTAACTGATTGTGTTCAACAAAATTTATATAGTTTATTTATATATACATATGCCACTTAATTAAGTTCTCTTTCATTGCTGCATAGACATTCAGCATCAGTGGGTATCAGGACCTGAACCAGGCAGCTGCACTGCATTTACTATCTCCAAATGAAACTGTGATGAGAAGATTGATTGTAAAGGGTTTGCAGTCATGTGTGTCTGCTTCATCAAAGCCACAGAGCTTGTAAACATGCAGCAAGTTTATTTCCTCATACCAAAGCCATCAGAAAGTAGTGGCCTAAGTGTTTTGCCCACCTGAACCAGTTTACACTTGTAGCAGCAGTGGAAGATTTGTCCCTCATAAAATTTATAAATTCCGCATTGTGAGGTTCTCCAAAACTCTCCAGATCTGAGTGTCCACTTAGTGATTGCACTGTGTAATTGCCTCCCCATTTCCAACTCTTTTAACTAAGAAAATCCAGGGATGAATCCTGGGTGAGTCACTGGACACTGGCAAGTTGTCTGTCTGTCTGTCACCCAAACAAACAAACCAAACACACAACCAAACACCTCACCCAAACAATCTTGCTGGGGTGCCTGAAGGAGATTCTGCAGCCCACCTGTAATAAAGGGGTTACCTCGTGAGCATGGGGATAATGAGGAAAGAAATTTCTGCAGAGGAGATGGGGAAGAAGGCACAGCAGGAGCAGTGAGCTGGGAATGGCTCAAGGGATAGATCAGGAAACCTGCCTGAAGCTGCTGGGATGTTAGAGAGGTGAGATCTGAAGCACTGCAGAGGAAACAATGGGGGAGGCTGCCTGGAAACACGAGGGAAAGATGCTGTATGCAGAGGGATGTCATGAAGGAAGAAGCATTTAGATATAGTCTAAATATGAAAATCTGTAGATAAATAAAAATAAAAGTGATGGCTTGGATACACTTCTCAGAAACAATCTTGCCACACTGTTTCGCACTTAAAAGCAACGGTGGAATCCAAAAACCTGAAATTCTCCATGTTCCTTACACATTTCTTTGCAACACCTTTTTCCCCTCTAACCCCAGTTCAAGAGCCATAGGTCTTGGCTGATGCACAGCTTCCCTTCTGTACCTTGTTTTTCTGCAATTAGTGGTAGGAAGCCTAGCCTCTAATTAATTTTTTGAGTGCTCAGCAGCCAAAGCCATGCAAATGTAAGGGGCAGGATTTGTGTGGAGTTTAGACTTGGCCTTTCACACTAGCCCAGGACTCCATATTCCTCTGTTGCAGATAGATAAGAGGTATCTGTCTTGGGTGGGAAAAGCCAGCAGTGTCACAGATCATCCTGGTGGTGTTACTGCAGCATCTCTCCCATCATTTGTGCCCTGCATCCTCGTGCTGAGGCTGTGAGTTGTTACTATCAAGGCTGTAAACTTTTGTTCCCTGTTGCATCTCAGAGAGAAAGGCAAGAGCTTGTTCTCATGCTTGTTCTCAGGCTGGGGCACTGCAGCTCAAGCACAGGATGCTTCATAAAACCTCAGTTTGCTTACCTCTCTGAGGGGTTTTGAGCTTTAATTAGTTTTGTATTGGGTCTTACATCTTTGATGGCCAAAATGTTATCTGCCTATGCTTTCTCACAGTCTGTCTGGGAGCAGCTTGCTGTTCTTGTCACATCTGTTTTGATGGTGAGCAGGACTTGCTGCAGAGCTGGGCTGCCTGGCTTTAATCATGCATCATAGAGGGGTATAAAACTGTCACATACCTTTGCTAATTATAATGTGCTCTCAAGTAATTTTGGAAGTGGCTGAGAGCCCTTCTAATGCTCAATTTAACATGCTTTAGTTTGATTTGCTTTCCATTCTTTGAAATAAAAAAAAAAAAGATATTAATATTTTTGTAGGCTTCTATGATGCTTGCTTTTGAAGCAGCACAACTTTGTCTGGATTTTGATATTTTTGATATTTAAAAAAAAAGAAGAATCACATACAAGAGACTGCTTTTTAGCCTGCCTGATGGCTAAAGAGTGTTGTCTGGTAATGTAAGACTTTCTTTGAGTTATGGATATCTGCGTTTAGTTACAGAGACTGCTTAATGGGATGCTATGTGATCTTCTCCAAAGTCTTATTTATCATAACCTATCATAGCTGTTAGGAACACTCCATTGACCTGGTTCTTGCTGTGTCAAGTACTGTGGAAGTACAGAACAAAAACCAGTTGCCTGCATCTTTTACAATGACCCTGTAGCTGTCCTTACCTGGCACCAGGTAGTTTGAGCACTTGGCCAGGAGAGTTTCCCCGTTGCTCTCCTCTTTTTATTCTGAGCCAAAGTACTCATGTGTCATGATCTGCAGCTTTTGTTGTTTTATAAATACCCCTCACAGTATCCATATACCATCTGTACCATCTGTATGTGACTGCTTAAGGGTGCAAGAGGTATCTAAGGCATGGTTTGGTTTGATGCCAGTGAGATTGCCCACAGGTTTTTCCTGCTCCCAGCTTTTTTGCACAGGTCTTAAAATGTCTTTGTTTTCTTTTCATTACTTCAAAAGGCAAATTCCCAGAAAAACACTTTATTAGAATTTGGGGGTTGCAAAAAAAAAAAAAAAAAAAATTTAAAAAAAATAGAAATTAAGCGGTTTGAAAAAATCCTGGTGCTTGCTTCAGATTCTCTCTGATATAAATTGGGTAGCTGCATAGTCCCTAGGGGCTGCCACTTTAATTCCAGCAGGAAATGTGACTTGATGACTTGTATGAAGACAGGAAGATCAGAGCTTCAGCTAACGGCAGCGGCCGCAGCAGGAGCCTTCTGCAGCTGTTTTTAAGTAAGAAATGATGGTGTGACATGGATGTGTACACTCAACTAAAATATTCCAGAAAAGCTCCTGCTGTTCAGCTTTTCTTTGGGTGAAACTCATTCTCCATGTTCTGTTATTGCACTTTTGCTGTTTTTTTCCTAATGTGATGGCATAAAAAGTTTCAGTAACTTTATCTTATTTCTTATTGGGGAGGTATTTTGCATGCTGCTACTTTGTCTCAAAAAACATCTTCGCTGCTTTTTATTTTTTCAACATGCACAAAAGCCAGAATGTGAGAAGGAAGAAGAACAGTATCTCTTGCTTTTTTTTTTTTTTTTTTCCTATGCCCCATGAGATTCTTTTCTTTTTTTACACCTCAGGGGATTGGTCCATCAGTACAGCTGAAAACTCTTATTGACTTCTGTGCCACCGGAGGGGATTTGCTTCCTTAGGAACCTCAATTGGTTTTTTTTCTTGTTATTTCTTCCCTAATGCATTGGAATCTTTTTTCTTCCCAAGGGGATCATTGGTTTTGCACCCACCTTAAGCTCTTTTGGCATCCCTAAACTATCCTTGGAGTCTTTGGTTTGTAGTTTGCACCTGGTTTGTTCTAATAAAGATAATAAGAGGATATTCCTTAACTCCCCTTCCCCACAATTGTTTGAATTATTTCATTCCTATCCTTAGTGGTGGCATTGGGAAGCACTCCCAGTATGGCATCTGAAGAGCTGTATTTCCTACTTGCTGAGTTGCTGGTCAAGAGCACTGTGTCTGTGCTGTGTATTTTATTCTGCATGGACTGTGTCCTTACAGGTACTTTGGGGGTTACCCCAGGTCTCGTATTTCAGTGAAAGAGACCTCAGTAAAATGTTTAACATCTTGAAATCACCCTTGTGCACGCGCCCACGTGAGTCCTTCCAGAACTGCTGTTTGTCAGTCTGGCCTAGGGGATAAAGTGGCAAATCAACAGGAATAGCTGGAAAACCAGTGCTGAGATTTCATTCTCATGGATACTGGGTGAACTAGGCTGTGGGAAGAGCTAAGCCAAGGTCTTAGGACTGAGCTGAATGAATTCACCACTTCAGTGAAGTGAAGCCAACCTAAGCTCAGTCACAGCAGAGACCTGGTGCCCCCCACCTTTGGGAAGAGTTTTAGCAGCCAGCCCTTGCAGTTGTGCCGCTGACCTTGGTTATAACAACTGCTTCCACGGCCCAGCCACAAAGCACCTCACTAACTCAGAATCATATTCATGAATGCCAAGTGAATATCAACAAGATCAGCATTATTTACAGTCTGACTTTTAACAAGTGCTGCCTTGCATACATCATGGATATTGGTGGATGGCCTCCGGAATCAACCCGGTATGGTCGGCACGGGAGATACCGTGAGGGGGGCAAGGGAGAT